TCTTACTCAGGCTGGTCTCAAACTCAACTCAAGCAGTTCTCCCCCCTCAGCATCACAGCGTGCTGGGATTATAGGCATAAGCCATGATGCCCAGACTATGTATTCCTCAAAACTTTATTAACAGTCTATTGTTGACTGGAAGCCTTACAGGTCACATAAATTGTAAATTAGCACATATTTTTTGTGTATTATTTACTGTATTCTCACAATAAAGTAAGAATATTGTATTGTATTCTTATAATAAAGCTAGAGAAAAGAAACTATTAAGAAAATCATAAGGAAGAAAAAAGTATATTTACTGTTCATTACATGGAAGCAGATTATCATAAAGGTCTTCATCCTCCTGGTCTTCACATTGAGTAGGCTGCGGAGGAGGATGGAGAGAAGAGATTGGTTTTGCTGTCTGTGGGTAGCAGAGGTAGAAGAAAATCTGCATACAAGTGGACCCCTGCAGTACACACCTCTGTTGTTCAAGGGTTAACTGTATTACATAGTGTTTTGTGTCACTAAAAAGGTAATTAACTTTAAATCTGGAAACTCAACGATACCTTTGTGGTACCATAAAAGAAATGGCATTAACAACTATAAAATATATCCAGTGGGCACCAACACCAGTAGGAGATTATTTCTTTTTTTTTTTCATGGGAGAAAATTTAGGGACTTGAGAAGCTTTATTTGAAGCTTAATTTATAAGAGCATTTATCACTTTCCATTCAAATTGTGAGTTTTAAGCAGAGCATTGCCTGACCACACAGACAGCGTTGAGGATCTTCTAGTTCAACCTCTCTTTTTTTTTCCCTCTTTTCTTTTTTTTTATTTCTGCATATTATGGGGGTACAAATGTTTAGGTTACGTTGCCCTTTCCCCCCTCCCCCTCCCCCCGGTATATATATACATAATGAGTGTGATGCGCACCATCTGGGAGATGGACACGCTTGAAGCTCTGACTGTGGGGGAAGGAGATTATTTCTTGAAGATACCTAATGAGTGGAGAAATCAGAAGGACAATTCCTTATTGAGAAGCACAAGTTATGTTACATATTCTTATACCAACAATGTCTCATTATTATTGACTTCCTTCACCATAAATTGAAATTGAATGAGATACATTTACTTCATTAGAACAAGATGTGCTCTTCTCCGTGCTGGGTAATTGCCATGATAACAATAATGTTGTTAGAACAAGACACTCTGTTACCATTAGCCAGATGATTTTTGTAATAAATATTTTAATAACCCAATTCTGAGCTGAACAAATATTAACAAAATACAGAAACGTTTCACAGCTAGAAAAATGCTACTATACTACTTCCATGTAACATCAAATGCATTGTACACTCTGAACTGTAATGTAGTATATATTTCTGAAAGAACTTCTCTAAGTTAGGTTTTGCAAGTTGCAGGAGACAAAGATAGAATAGACATAGTTTTGGTCTTTAAGGCGCTCATCATAGAAGAGAGCTGTTGCTATTTAATTTCTGTACTTTTCTAACAGAATTGTCAAAGAAATCATTTTTATTTATTTATTCCCCTGCCCACTTAACAAATAACTATCAAGTGCTTTTAGGTATTAAGCATTTTTCTATCTTTACAGAAGACAGACATTTAAAAAATGCTGTCAGTAGCTAGTTATTATCATTGTTATGTTTATTATTTACTGTGTTATTCAGTGCTTACTATGTGCCAGATGTCCTCTAGGAGCACATAATTATCACAGATTATGTATTATGTTAAATATGTGCCAGACACTTTAAGTCCGTGGGGAGAAATTACAGCTTTAAAGAAAATGGGTAGGATATGAGGTAAACATGCAGAGTGAACCAAGTCTGCTAGATAAAGAGGCAGAAGGATGATGCTTGGCAGAAGAAACATCTAA